GAAATCTAATTATTAGTTCCCAAATCATATGTTATTTTTTATGCCAAATATTATATTAATTATCAAAACTAACCAAATAATGAGCTAAATATTTATATCCATCAGCGGATAGTCTAACCCATGTTTTGAATATATGGCTCACATAAAGCAAATGGATGGCCACTTATATGCAATCCTTTTGGGAATAATAACTCACAGATAACTTATATTTTGTGCAAAACTCAAAGACATATCTGATGAGAAGCAACCATAAGACACATCACAGCAAAAGCAACAAAAAATAAGATAATACTAATAATTGTGGAGCTCTTCTGTAAGTTAAGTCAAACTCTTATACAATATGAGAGAGAAAATAAAGTTAAAATAAATGAAAATAAGTACGAGGTATGTGCTAATCGACACATATAATGGTTACCTTAAAACACTACTGTACTGTACATTATATAATACAGTGATGTTCACTATAATAAGTATTGCAATGCGTTTTGATGGGATTCGTGAACAAATATATCACATTTGATATTATCTATAATTCAGATGACTTATTGGTCCATAAAATATATGAGAAAATACAGACAAAACAAAACATAAAACCATAGAATGGTATGACTTTAATATCATATATAAAATTAACTGAAAAATTAGGAAATTAATATTTAATGTCAAATGTGAGCGAAAGAGCGAAAAAAATTGCAGTTAAATAAATAATTAATATTATTGAGTACTTAATGTAATTACTTTTAAGCCCTATTGCAATACAATCAAAGTTTTAAGATTTGACTACTCTTTCATTAATGAATTGATTAAATTATTAAATTTAATAACAATACTTTAAATATAAATTATTTACTGATTGCTAACATTTAACTTTAATTTATTTAAAATAGTTCTTTATTGCTGATTCAACTTTTTATTAGGCATTATTATTTTGAAAACATTTAAATTAATAATTACTTTGGATTAAATAGGTTTAGAAGTTTAAAAATGTTGTAATACATTAGAAATATACTAATACAATACATGTAAAGCTAATATATAAAAATTTAATATCAATTGGATATTATATTAGTATAACCATAGTTTCTAACCATAGATTCTGCTCTAAATTAAACATAATAACTTTTCATAGCCATATTTTTAAATATACTGTATTACTATAATAAAATTGGCCATAATATAATTAGGCATTAATATACTGGATGTGCTGTATATTAAAATAATTATTTATAACATTTCGAGTTTTATCCTTTAAATACAGTATTTATTAAAATGTGTTTCGTATCCTTAGTTAGTATTATGTAATCCACGGCCAGTTGTTGTCACGTCTTATAGAAATGTTATAGCGGTGTGACTGTTAGATCACTGGTAGGCATATAACAGCATCTCATTGTTGACAACAACATCCCATTTGATGGACTCTTCACTAATGAACTCATACTATAAATGATTGCAACGAAAACACAATTCACTCTCTGTTTGCTAATCAAATAAAAATCTGATATCAATTAATTTAATTAAAAAATTAAATACATTGTAAATACTTTATGTTATAAACAGCTAAACTTGAATTTTATTTTCAAGTAAATAATCGCTTTGAATATCGAAATCTTTTAATAGGTTTTATTGAATTAATTAAAACATGTATTTAAAATTATTTTAATAACCATGTTTTAATAACATACAGTAGTATACTGTATTATGGTGAGTATATAAAAGTATACAATACTGTATTCCAATAATCCGCACATGACTTAAAATGTAATTTTTAATAAATTACCCAAAAAATAGTCCGGAAATTATAAGTTTTTACTCAACGAAATACTATATTTAAAATACAGCAGAATTTTTGGACTAATATTTTTAAAGTTTTGTATATTTTTTGACTCCAACTCTCACTTTATATTACATTTTATATATTTATATAAATGTTGAATAACTTAGATTTAGTGTTGAAATCTTTATGCAATAATAAATACTAAAAATTAATTATTGAGATATTTGTTTTATATAATTTATGTGTATAATTACATAATTTTTATTTAGATCATGTACAATTCTGCTCATCATGATCACTTATTATTTTCATATTTACCAAATAAAATAAAAACATAAGTTCTATAGGTTTATAGTTAATAAAATTTTTAATATAATTTTATTTATATCATTTACATTTTATTACCAATTTTAATATTCTCTTAAATTAATTAAAATTGTTTTTGTTTGTAATGATGTATTAATAAAAATTTTATGAAATAAATAAATATTATCCATAAAACTATTCAATATTTATAATTAATTTGGTTTTTCTTGATATTTTCAAAATTTTATATTGCTTTTAAACTCCTTTAAAAAGTACACAAAAAAGTTAAACATAACTAAAAAGCATTAATTCTTTATACAGTTATTTGCAAAAAGTCTCTAAAAATATTTCCCGAAAAAATAAGAGAGAGAGAGAGAGAGAGAGAGCGAGNAACTAAAAAGCATTAATTCTTTATACAGTTATTTGCAAAAAGTCTCTAAAAATATTTCCCGAAAAAATAAGAGAGAGAGAGAGAGAGAGAGAGAGAGAGAGAGAGAGAGAGAGAGAGAGAATTTTCAATTCACATCAGAAAATAACATAAAATTTGCTTCTTTTGTATGCATTTTAAATGAAAAAAACATTTCGTTTTTACGATATGTTGTATGAAATTAGAAAAATAATATTTGAAAATAAAAAATACTTTTATTTCATTGAGATTTATGACCAGAATTTACGGAATCATTTCTTATTGAAATTGCAGTTATTTTTTTTTGTTGTTTAATATATAATATACAATATATTTTGCTTTTACACAAAAACATAACGACATAACAAACACAGACACAAAAAAGGATAACATTTTAGAAAAATGTAAAGAAAAATATTTGTCTTTAATGTCATTGAAAAATAAATTGTGATTTCATTTTTGTGGTGACAAAAGACAATCCAAACAATCCATTTATTTCCTCCCAATTCTGTACACCAATTAAGTCATAACAAAAAACCGTTTAAATAAGGCATAAACCATACAATTCTGTTATACCTTTGCTTTTTTGTAGATTTTACTTATTTTGAACTTAAAATTTGAAATACTTATTAAATTCTGATTATTTTCTGTATTTATAAGTGAATTAAAAATATTTGATTTTTTATTCAATTAACTTTTTTAATGTGTTTTATTTGTAGTGTTAGTGGTATTAGTGTTAGTAGTGTTAGTGGTGTTAGTGTTAGTGGTGTTAGGGTTAGTAATGTTAGTATTGTTAGTGAACCCCCGGGAGGCGATGGTGTGTCCCCCGGCCCGCCCGCCCTCCTTTGTTTATGTGGTGGTGGACTCCACCCCTTCTCAGGTTGTTTACTGTCGTTAGAGGCGCTCGACTTTTGGTCAGAAGTGTTGTGTCCGGCCATCCCATCTCTCAGATTGTTTTGAGTCGTTTGAGGCGCTCGACTGTCGACCACACTGTGGGCAACACAAGTGTGGGGTTAGGCTATCCCTTCTCAGCTTCTTTTCAGTCGTTAGAGGCGCTCGACTTTTGGCCAGTGGTGTTGTGTCCGGCCATCCCTTCTCAGGTTGTTTACCGTCGTTAGAGGCGCTCGACTACTGGCCAGTGGTGTTGTGTCCGGCCATCCCTTCTCAGGTTATTTAGAGTCGTTAGAGGCGCTCGACTGTCGACCACAGGTGTTGTGGGGTTAGGCTATCCCTTCTCAGGTTATTTACAGTCGTTAGAGGCGCTCGACTTTTGGCCAGAGGTGTTGTGTCCGGCCATCCCATCTCTCAGATTGTTTTGAGTCGTTAGAGGCGCTCGACTACCGGTTCCCACAATTTGCCCGACTTTTCTATTGATCCGTCCGTTCGGACGCCAGGACTGCGTTATCCCTCTCTCTATGTCCTGAGATGTAGTGTTCGTGAATCAATCCCAGTCTATGTCAACGCTAAGGGCGTAAGACTTGAGCTCATGTTTTGGCTGTATTTCCGGGCCATCACTTCAGCGAGTATTGAGTGAAACGATTCTCCATTTGTGGGACTAAGAGATGCCTTCGACTACCAGTCCATCCAATTCTCGGGTCAGCCCAGGGGTGTAGGGCTTGTGCCTAATCGCCAGTTGACTCGCAGCCATACATGTGTCTGTTAGCCATTTATTTGGATCGCCACCAATGGCTTGACTTCTGGTCAACGGTCAGGTGTAGGCCCGGACCTGTTGGAGGCCCGGGCCATCCCAGGGGTGTAGGGCTTGTAACCAATTGTCAGTTGTCGCCCGAGTCGTGTCTTTTTGTTGTCATCTCTAGGACTGTAGGACTTGTGAGCGAACATCCGTTTAGACCCGAACTCAGTGCTGTGTCTGCTGTGAAGTGCGGGACATCATTGCTCTCTAAGGATGTGGGCATTCATTACAACACATGGTTTCCACACCTCATCTCTTGTGAACAAATCTATTGCTTCTTTGGTCTCAATTTTGCCGTTTCTGTCAATCGCTTACTTTTATATGAAAATTTAGAAATAATTTATTTTCAAACAAAAATTTTTCAAACAATTGAATCGATAATAAATATCTAACAATTGTATACTTATTTGGAAATAATAGTATTGTTGTCAAAATATACATAAGTTTACATGTATTTAATTAAATGTAAAGCTATAAGTGTTTAATGCTTAATAAAATATGAGAAATAATGATAAAATTATAATAAAGTCTTTTGGTTTTGTGAATACAATGTAAAACAGTGTCTGTTTTGTATGAATCACTTGAAGTGATTGACACAAAACAGACACAAATGTCTTTGATATTTGAAAACTTAAAGCAAACGCAAAGTTTTTTGCCTCAAAAACGACTGTAAAGTTTGGCTACGATTACTGCTGTGGAGAAGATATGGCACAGAATTGGCATTCAATTGATTGCAAAACCAATGAAACTATTTTTGTGTTCACTTTTAATTGTCGTACAAATTGTGTTAAATTAACCGCACGTTTTCGGAGACATAATCCATGGGTTTAAGACATTTGCTAATCGTTTCGCTGTGTTTAATAGTGTGGGCGAAAAAGTCGGACCAAAACGATGCCGATGTATGCATAATGTGTCTGAAAAAGTGTTAATCCATTTGCAAATTAATACCAATTAATGTCTTGTAATTGTCTTTCCGTACCATTAGTTGTGCGCCAATCCAGTGGTCTATTCGGCCGATCGGTTGAACAGCAAAACTGTGCGTCTGTTTCGCGGCGATAAGGCCTGGGATTTGACCGGTTTTCCCGACCATAAAAGCCGACCCGTTGAGACGACCAAATTGGCGAAGAATACGTTCAAACACTTGCTTCCGGTCACCGAAAGGCAAAGAGTGGTGACAGTGTCTGAAGGCTCGCCATCGGTGGTCAATTTGACGGTTAAGTTTGGTGACAAACGTTGGTGGGGTTGGGCTAAGGACTCCGAGACGGGAGACGTCACTCAATTGGGCACTTCTGTCGGCTATTTCTGGGATCAAATACCTCGAGATAATGGGTTCGCAGCCGTCTTTCACAACGCCGACAAAGAGGACCCAATGCTGATCGGACTCGAGGCCAACGCCAAGCATAGCAACAAACACATGAAAGTGTGTATTAATTGGCATTTATTTTGATGACAAATGTGTTGATAAAGCGATTGATTGTTGTTTCAGATCCACTATTTCAGTACAAAAGAGGGAAAAGGCTTTTTGATCCCAAAGAAGAGCCACTATTTCGACGAAAAGGATTTCCCGATCGATATGACGGACGCCTTTTCGTGGCCATCGAAGGCATCCAAATATACCATTTATATCATTAGAAAAGACAAATACTGTCGTCTCACTGATGCTCATAAGGCATGTGTAAAGAGTTTTATTTCAATTTAGTTTAAATTAAAAATTGAATTTAAAATTACCATATTTTTAACGATATATTTAGTGCACTAAATGGGAATCAAATGAACAATTGTTTGGTTGTAGTTATAGTAAAACGAGAAACTTCTCGCCTCCAGAGGAAGTGAAAAATGAAAACTCGTCGCCTAATGCTCAGGAAGCGAACCCCAATGATGGCAAACCGGCCCCCGTAGGCGAGTCAGTGTCCGGTGCCGTATCAACTGCTCCCGGAGGCCAACCACCGACTGATTCGGCGTCAAATCCGGCCGATTCGGTGACCAAACCGACTAACAAAACCGATGACAAACCCAAAAAATCAGGCGCCGCTCATAACCATCGCATTACAACCGATATGTTTATTATTTCATTCATTTGGACACTTATTGTGTGTTTTATTGTTTAATAACAATTATATTATACGACATTAACATTACTGTTGCCTTAAATTTAATATAACTTTGCATCAAATACTTTTTGTAATGGATATGAATTGTAAAAATTATAATTTCTAAGAATTTATATTATAAAGAATTTATATAATAAAGAATTTATATAATAAACGAGTGATTAAAGCAACAAAAAAGTTGTTTGTAATAAATATATGGTTACTCTTACAGACAATGAGACAATATCTTATGGTTATGTAAACTATATTTCTTTCAAACAATGTATTGAATGTTTGGTTGGATGAGAAGGAGAAGACATTAACTATATTTATATTGATTGTTCACTCAATAGTATCGTGTGATGCGATCTCTTGTCTTCGGGTCTGGTTTCAAATGACAGCCTCTTTATGATAAGTAGAGGTCAGCAAACAATTACTACTCGTATGTATCGATGGATACACAGCGACGATGTTGTGGTGTCTATGAGTTATAAAAAGTAACGTTTAGTGATGTGTTAACAAAGCAAATAATATGAGGCATAACACAGAATCAAGTATTCCTCGATGGGCTTCAATCAGACATTGCTTTGTTAACACATCACTAAACGTTACTTTTTATAACTCATAGACACCACAACATCGTCGCTGTGTATCCATCGATACATACGAGTAGTAATTGTTTG